CAGCTACTCGGGAGGCTGAGGCAGGAGAATCACTTGAACCCAGGAGGTGGAGGTTGCAGTGAGCTGAGATTGTGCTACTGCACTCCAGCCTGGGTGACAGAGCAAAAATCTGTCTCAAAAATAATTAAGTAAATAGGTATAGAATAGAAACTATTAGAATGTATAGTGTATAGTAAGTAGTGTTTATGAAACTTTGGTTTCAATAACATATATATTACACATGCATGTTTTGGATTGTGATGTAAAATGAAAATGTGTTTCTTATTGTGGGATGCCATGAAACAGGCTAAAGCAGCATGATTCTAGGACTTCCAATCCTCCTGATACCCACCACCATCACCACGCAGGGTCTCACCCACAAACAGACTGTTGGATTGTCTGCTTGCTAAACTGGGCAAGCAAGACAATGCAGTCTCATCAGAATCCACAGCCCCACATGCCTCTGCTCCTCCCTGAAATGGGAAGCTAAGTTTGAATGGATGAAACTTGGCCATATTGGCCAAGCTGGCCAGGCTGGTCCTGAACTCCTGACCTCAGGTGATCCACCTGCCTCAGCCTCCCAAAGTGCTGTGATTACACAATGTTTTACCCTTCGCATAGATCTCCATTTTCCAGTTGAGCAACTATATGAATTATAAGTACTGAAAAGTTTATTTTAATTTTTTGAGACAGAGTCTCGCTCTGTCACCCAAGATAGTGTGATCTCAGCTCACTGCAAACTCTATCTCCTGGGTTCAAGCAGTTCTCCTGCCTCAGCCTCCTGAGTAGCTGGGATTACAGGTGCCTGCCACCACACCTGGCTAATGTTGTATTTTTAGTAGAGATGGGGTTTCACCATGTTGGTCAGGCTGGCCAGGCTGGTCTCGAACTCCTGACCTCAGGTGATCCACCTGCCTCAGCCTCCCAAAGTGCTGTGATTAGTGGTGTGAGCCACCACACCCAGCCCTAAAGTTTCTTTGTGCTTAAAGAAAACCAGGCATTACTTACGTAGTGTGGTGGTCATCCCAGGGCCTGTGAAGGTGTGGTCAGGGCCAGCCGCGGTGCTTGAACCGCTTGAAGCTGTCATAAGATGGTCCTGTCCTGAGCTTGTTGGGATGGCCACAGGATGCATCTGAGTGGGTTGGGGGGTACTAACTGGATTTGTAGGGTGAAGGGTCGTCAGATGTTCTGCCCTAGTGGCTGTGACGTCTGTGGTCTCACTGTGGCTACTTTGGTCCCCAGATGTGGCTGGATCTTTTGCTCCATCCTGGCTGGTGGTGGCATCAGCTTGAGCTGTGGTCATGGAGGGTGCAAATGTAGTGCCAGCTGCATCTTTCATGCCGTTGGGATCGTCGCTGGTGGCAGTAGGGTTGCCTGAGTCTCCTTTTCCAGGCATGGTAATGGTCGCTTTGTCTTGCTGAACTGGGGCTGTAGTTCCTGAGTCACTGGACACATCAGGGGTGCTCGTCTTGACTGGGGCCTTGGAGGGGAGGCCTGTGCTCTGCTGGGCTGTAATTGTAGCCTCTGTGGTGACACCGGCTGCTGGAGCCTGGTCCTGCCCGCTGGTGGCTTCTGGTGCTGTTGGGGCTGTTCCACTGGGTGAGTCATTAGCAGGCGAATCTACTGTTTGCAAAGACAATACAGAATGGAGTTAGGGCTAGGAGGCTTTCTCACCATGCTTCTCCACAGCTCTTCCCCAGGATTCAGAGGTCTTGCTGAAGGCCTGGGTCCTTGGTGACTCCAGATTTTTCTTTTCTTTTTTTTTTTTTTTTTTGAGACGGAGTCTTGCTGTGTCACAAGGCTGGACTATAGTGGCATGATCTCAGCTCACTGCAACCTCCACCTCCTGAGTTCAAGCGATTCTCCTGCCTCAGCCTCCCGAGTAGCTGGGACTACAGGTGCACGCCACCATGCCCAGCTAATTTTTGTCTTTTTAGTAGAGGGTTTCACCATGTTGGCCAGGATGGTCTCGATCTCTTGACCTCATGATCTGCCTGCCTCAGCCTCCCAAAGTGCTGGGATCACAGGTGTGAGCCACCATGCCCGACCGACTCCAGATTTTTCTGAGGTTCAAGAAACCTCTAAGAGGGGAGCTTGGAGTGCAGCAGGGTTAGAAAAGCAAAATGCTGCCGAACGGGAGGCCCAGGCCAGTGAGGCCCCGCCACACATGGAGGCTGTCGTGCGCTCCCTCCCTGCCCTCCCTGTCCAGCCCCACACACATCTCCCTCAAGTTTGACAATGTGCTACCCCTGCACTGGCTGCCAGGAACATCTCTATCTCCTCCTCTCCAGCTCCCAGGCACGTGGCCCCACAGAAAATTCCACAGACTAATGCTCCCTGAAGTGCCCCGGCCCTGTGCTGAGCTTAAGCAAAAAACACATGGTCCCTGTTCTCACGGAAGTTAAATCTAGAAGAATAAACGGATGATAAACTGAAGTTACACAGAGCTGTGCCCCGACTGTGTGCAGCGTGGCGGCTTCGCCGTGCCAGGGACAAAGGGAAGGAAGGCTTTGTTTAACGAAATATTTCTTGAAGAAACAGGTGCTGTGTCAGGCAGTGGAGACACAATGGTGAACGCGACACAGACGGTCATACCCTCAAGAAGGTTACACTCAGTGGGGGAGACGGAGACGAAACAGGGTGGTTAAATCTGCTTACCACATGGAGGAAGCGAGGAAGGAAACGGCGCAGAGACGCACAGGAAGGAAGGCAAGGCGTCTCTGCGATGACTGTGAAGCTAAGCCCGGAGGATACCAAGGAGAACCATATGTGGAGCATGGGAGGAAAAGTGTTCATGGCAGAAGGAAGAGAATCTGCAAAGCCCCCAAGTAGGGAAAGGAGCTGAAAGAGGATAAGCAGGAATGGAGTTTGGTGAGAAGGGGTCAAGCACAGGGCTGAGAAAATGCAGGGTCTTATAATTACAGTGACAGCAACTAAGCGTCCAAACCAGGCATTTTTGACAGTAAAAGGCTCTCTTAAAAATCACATCCACGGCCGGGCGCGGTGGCTCAAGCCTGTAATCCCAGCACTTTGGGAGGCCGAGGCGGGTGGATCACGAGGTCAAGAGATCAAGACCATCCTGGTCAACATGGTGAAACCCCGTCTCTACTAAAAACTACAAAAAATTAGCTGGGCATGGTGGTGCGTGCCTGTAATCCCAGCTACTCAGGAGGCTGAGGCAGGAGAATTGCCTGAACCCGGGAGGCGGAGGTTGCGGTGAGCCGAGATCGCGCCATTGCACTCCAGCCTGGGTAACAAGAGCGAAACTCCGTCTCAAAAAAAAAAAAAAAATCACATCCAACAGGGCGCAGTGGCTCACGCCTGTAATCCCAGCACTTTGGGAGGCCAAGGCGGGTGGATCACCAGAGGTCAGGTGTTCGAAACCAGTCTGGCCAACACAGTGAAACCCCGTCTCTACTAAAAATACAAAATTACCTGGGCATGGTGGTGCGTGCCTGTAATCCCAGCTACTTGGGAGGCTGAGGCAAGAGCACTGCTTGAACCTGGGAGGTGGAGAATGTACCACTCTGTACTCTAGCCTGGGTGACAGGTGAAACTCTGTCTCAAAAAAAAACAAATTAAAAAAACCACATCCTGTTGGGCCAGGTACAGTGGCTTATGTCTATAATCCCAGCAGTTCGAGACCAGCTTGGCCAATATGGAGAAACCCCGTCTATACTAAAAATACAAAAATAAAAATTAGCCAAGCTAGGTGGCGGAGGCCTGTAATCCCAGCTACTCGGGAGATTGAGGCAGGGGAGTCACTTGAACCTAGGAGGCAGAGGCTGCAGTGAGTCGAGAATGCACCACATTGCACTCTAGCCTGGGCAACAGGTGAGACTCCGTCTCAAAAAAATAAAAATAATAAAATCACATCCTACATAGAATGAGACATAAGATCACCTTCCTCAGAGGCCAACATGCAGATTCTGGATTTTATTCTAGCCGCAAAAAAGAAGCCAGTGAAGGCGTTAAAGCAAGGAACTGGTATAGGATGACTTACAAAGAAACATGTTTCCGCTGCTCTGGGGAATGCGGACTGGAAAGAGGAACGTGTGGAAAAGGGAAGAGAAGTTAGGAGGCAATTACAGTAATCCAGACAGAGTGAACGGGGTTGGCCACAAGACGCTATTGACACTGGGGACAAAAGGCGGATAGGTCAAGACCGTTTGGGGGATCAACTGCTTGTTGATGTCCTAAGTGAGGGAAGAAGAGAATCCGAGATGATTCCTAGTCTTCTGTCTGGAGCAGAAGGGAGTGGTTGGAAGGGGGCTTGTGACTGCGTGCTGTTCTCTGTGCCAGCCAGCACCCAAACTATTTCTATTTGGGAGTTCCACACCCCAAATGAGACTTGATGGCAACAGAATTTGCCTCCTATGGCAATGCTCCTATGAAAATGCCAGCTCTTTCCCTGACCAGCCTCCCTGGGATGAGCACCAGCATGTGGCAGTGCCATCATGAATGAGAACTCTCATTCCAGCCAGTGAGGGAGGGGATGGCGGCCTGTGAGGGGCTCTGCAGGCAGGAGCAGTGACATCACGCACGGAAGTGAGGCCCAGCTCGCATCCCAAGACGCAGTGGCACCTAGCGCCTGGCAAGAGTGGGCCACGCTGGCCTCCTTGGATCAGTTCTACAGCCTGGCTTGGGTAATGTTCAAAGCAGCCCTGAATGCTGCCTCTGGCAATCCCAGCTACTCCATACGCTGGACGGTAGCCAGTATCTTTTACACACACATTTTGCTACTGAAAAGCAGAAATGTCTATCAGGAGCAGCTGCCAGCAAGACTTCAGGGATGAGTTGTCAGGCCTCACTGGGGACAAAGGGCAGTCAAAATTCTGCAAGTATTAAGGAACAGGACTCAAGTGTCCCATGACATCTTGAGGATAAGCAGTCACATTATCACCTCTAATCTAAAGTGAAGTGCCCAGGAAGTGGCTTTGGTCTGGCCGAGTGGCCACTGCCAGAGTATGAAAGGCATGCACATCAGATGTGTTTTAAAAAGCAATGCAGTGTGGGGGTTTGACAGGCCTTTGTTCTTAATAGTTTATAAAATAATCGTGCTTCTTACTACTGATGGCATCATAGTGTCATCTGGCAAGATACTAGACTGCTAAGGGAATATACCAGCATATCTAAGGAATTAAGGAATTTGTGGGATGATTGCTGCTTCTCTTTTTTTGAGATGGAGCCTCGCTCTGTTGCCCAGGCTGGAGTGCAGTGGCACCATCTTGGCTCACTACAACCTCTGCCTCCCGGGTTCAAGCAATTCTCCTGCCTCAGCCTCCTGAGTAGCTGGGACTAGAGGTGCATGCCACCACACACAGCTAATTTTTATATTTTTAGTGGAGACTGGGTTTTATCATGTTGGCCAGGATGGTCTCCATCTCTTGACCTGGTGATCTGCCCGCCTCGGCCTCCCAAAGTGCTGGGATTACAGGTGTGAGCCACCACACCTGGCTTTTTTTTTTTTTTTTTTTTTTTTTGAGACAGGATCTTGCTCTGTTGCCCAGGCTGGAGTACAGTATGAGATCAGGACTCACTGCAGCCTCTGCCTCCTGCATTCAAGCAGTCCTCCCACCTCAGCCTCTGAAGTAGCTAGGACCACAAGCACGCATCACCACACCCAGCTAATTTTTATATTATTTGTAGAGAAGAGATTTTGCTATAATGCCCAGGCTGGTCTCAAACTCCTGGGCTCAAGTGATCTTCCAGGCTCGGCCTCCCAAAGTGCTGGGATTACAGGTGTGAGCCACGGCACACAGCCCTGGCTGGTTGTTTCTTACAGTGGTGAACAGCTTAAAACAGGATTTCTCAACTCTGAAACTACTGACATTTTGAACTGGATATCTCTTGCTATGGGAAGTTGTCCTATGCATTATACACAGAACGCTTAGCAACATTCCTGGCACCTCTCCATTAGATGCAAGTAACACACATATGCACGTCTCTTTCCAGTTGTAACCATGAAAAATGTCTCCAGATATTGCCAAATGTCTCCTGAGGGAGACAAAATCACTACCAGTGAAAACTACTGGTTTAAACAAGTTCAAATTCCTAAATCCTCCTAGGAACGCACAGACTGAAAACCAGAGACTTTCCAAGAACACATTCAACAAGTCTCTTTGTTTGCAGCTGAAGGGCTGAGATGGCCAGAAGACTTTAAAGCTTGATTCCATGAGTTGCTGAATTACAGTGTTAATACATAACCTCACCAGGTCTCTTATGTGAAAACAGGACCTAGAGAATTTGGTTTGTTGTTGTTGTTGCTGTTGTTTTTGAGATGGAGTTTCACTCTTGTTTCCCAGGCTGGAGTGCAATGGTGCGATCGCGGCTCACTGCAACCTCTGCCTCCCGGGTTCAAGCAATTCTCCTGCCTCAGCCTCCCAAGTAACCTGGGACGACAGGTGTGTACCACCACACTCAGTTAATTTTTGTATTTTTAATGGAGGTAGGATTTCATTATGTTGGCCAGGCTGGTCTTGAACTCCTGAACTCAGGTGATCTGCCCACTTCAGCCTCCCAAAGTGCTAGGATTACAAGCATGAGCCACCGCGCCCGGCCGTGTCTCTCTCCTAAGGATACCAGTCATTGGATTTAGAGCCCTCCCTAATTCGGTATGACTTCATCTTAACTTGATT